ACCTGAAATGATACAAAAAATAATCTACTCTACTGAATAACAAACACCGAATAGTAATCACCAATAAAAAGTGAAACTAACGAACTTCATGGGATACTTGACCTACAAGAAACTCTAACTAATACAAACAGATTACCTCTAAGCCTCAGCCTTATTAGACCTGGCTTGTGAGAACCATGTAGGAAGGTGGAGGAGTATGAAGTAGACTGAGGGAACTGAAGCAGAACCGGTATTGTACCCCAGGAGCCAATACTGCATCTAGTCCTGCTCAAGAGCTTCATTCATATCAGGACAATGCGCAGTGTGGAGCCTCAGCAAGTTTGTTGATGGTACACAACTGGGAAGATGATACACCACGGGTGATGATGCTGTTTGGAGTGACCTCACCAGGCTGGAGAAATGGGCTGCCAGGAACCTCATGCAGTTTAGAGAGTGGAAATGTTAAGTCCTGCAACTGAGGAGGAACAGCTCCCAGCACCTGTATATACTGGGGTCCACCCAGGTGGAAAGTAGCTTTGCAGAAAGGACCTTGCAGTCCTCCTGGACACCATGTTGAACACCAACATTATGCCTTTGTGGCAAAAAGGCAAACACTATCCTGTGCAGTGTTACTAAGCGTGTTGCCAGCAGGTCGAATAAGGTGATCCTTCCCTTCAATTCATTGCTGGTCAGACCACACCATACTAGAGAGAGTCTGGTGAAAGGCCACAAAGCAATTAGGGGATTAAGGTCTTTACTAAAGAATTGGAGCACCTCTCATACAACAGTAGCCTGAGAAAGCTGTGACTGTTTAGTCTAGAAAAGAGAACGGGGCACCTGACCACTGTCTCCAAGTATCTGAAGGGAGACTGTAAAGAAAATGAAGTCAGGCTTTTCAGTGGTGCCCAGTGTCAGGACAAGATGCAATAGGCACAAACTGAAATACAGGAGGTTCCCTCTGAACATGACAGAACATTACTGTGAGGATAACTGAACACTGGCACATGTTGCCCAGAGAAGTTGTGGAGTCTCCATCTTTGGAGATATTAAAAAGCCATCTGGACATGGTCCTGGACAAGTAGTTCTAGGTGGCCCTGCTAGGAGAGGGAGGTTGAACCAGGTGAACTCCAGAGCTCCCTTCCAACCTGAACCACTATGTGATTCTGCACTGTATGCAGCTGCCGTCTCCACACCCTGAAGATAACCTGCAGGGCACTGTTAATAAGCTAAATAATAATAAAAGCCTGTTAAGAAGTAACTGAGATCCTTCTGAGGATTTCTTTTATTACAGGATTTAGTAAGCTGATTTAATTACAATAAGGTGATTACAAAGTAATCCTATTTAGGCAGGAAGTTGGTGCTGCAACTACAAATACCTCACTCAACTAAGGATTAGGAATGGCCTTTGATGGTTACTTTCACCTCCAGAATGAAGCCCTTCAAGGCAGGATACAAGCATGTTTTAGGATAGCATAAAATTCCACAGTGTTAATTAATTATTTATTCTAAAAACAGATAATGCAGACATGCAGGAAGAAGGAAGTGTGGCTTCATGCAATCCAAAATGTTATTATTTTGACTCATCTAGGAATAACCAACAATAGCTTGTACAGTACAAAACTCCTTCCATGATGATTTCATGTTGGAGGGTTGCCCTTCGCCCTACATCTCCCTGCAGCTACTTTCCCATCTGCTGCTGGAAGCCCTTGCTCTTCCTTTAGATAACACCTGAGGCCTGGAGATAGAAAATTCAGTTGCTCCAAGAAAACAAAATTGTTTCCCCATTCCCTGTTGCTGAGAATGAAACCTGCTATGTCAAGAACCATTTCTGGATTGCTACCACAGCAAAGTCTCGGCCTTAGCTTAGCTTAAAACCCAGGTCTCAGAGAGAGCTCAGCTGGCAAAGCAGTATTTTTATTGCTCATCCACCTACACTGACAGGCCACATGACTGATCACCACATAAAAGACATTTGCTTGTTATCAGGTCTTTGGTAAGAAGGATCCTGGGTTTAGTGCATAGAAGGCCTACCTATTCTGTCACAAGTCTGTTGTTGCAGAGTGTATTTTCTGCTTCACTAGAGGAGCTATGGGTTTGTTACTGTTGTCTTATTTAACAAAGCTTAGCATACATACCAGAAACAAAACATTGATGGCCACTGCTGATACCTGGAATTAGCCCACATTTTGTTTCTCGCTCATAACCAAATAACCTTTTTCAGCAAAGATTCATGAGAGACAAACATTCCCTCTACTCCCTCTGAGTACTCCAAACTAAAGATTAAGTGGAAATGTAAAAGGTGCTTTTGAAAGACAGGATGTTTCCGAGCACTGAAGACAGACATTGTTGGGTTATATGAAGTTGTTATTTGCAAAGACATTACTAAAAAGGCTCCACATAAAACTAAGAATAGGTATAAGGAAAATTTTACTCTAAGGCATCATTTTGAATTTTCCTGTCTAGCTGCAACACATTTATTTTGTACATGATATAACAGGAGAACGCAGTCTGAATGAATTTATCATTAATTTATCAACTGAAGGGTACAATTAAGCACACAATGAAACAAACAACAAAATTCTTATTGCCACATACTGGCTCCCTCATCATTCAAAATATACAAAGGTCAAATAAGCAGGGAAAAAAAATAAGAGAAAAAATGATGCATTTACATCCTGAACAAGAAGTGCAAGCAGCTCAAATAGCCTGCATTCGACCCTCTCATAACTAATGCTAGAAACAAGATCAGCTCTAAAAACATATGGCATCAGCTCTCAAACATACATCACCCAGTGAGTAGTCCACAGTCTTAGGAATTTTTACTGAACTATCTCCTTGTCACTTATGTTAAAGATGTGTTTTTTCTGGTATTGTCTAAATATTAATTTAGAAACAGGGCCTTTAGTCTACAGGAGAAGATGTATCAATCTACAAAGTCAGCTGCTGTCCAGCATTTACATTGCTCCGAGCTTCAGCACGTTTCTCCAGAAGGCCCACAGTTTCTCTCTCCAATAAACTGCACACCCATTCTGGAAATCGCAGCATAATAGTCCATGGAGAAACGTATCCCGGCAATCATTTTTAACCAGAAAAACTCCCTAGCATACAGCAGGGTGGTGAGGAATGTGCCAAAATCCCAAGGGTCTTAAAAATACTTAAGGATAAACATCATTAGAACATGTGCATCAGCCCTGAAGAAGCTTATTTTCTAATTTATGAAATTGCTTAAAGACAGAGATGTCACTTGTTTTCATGATTGGAGAAAGCAAGTAACATTCTCACATAGTTACACATCAATTCATGACAAATCCTGCATCTGGTTATATGAGTGTATTCCTTACAGCTAGCTGAAAGCTGCTATAGGACTCTATTCCAGGAGACAAGACTGGATACGTGAGTAATTTTAAGAAGCTCTTGATTCAAATCTATTCAAAAGAGGTGAAAAGTATGTTCAGACCAACCATATATCTCTTGCAAGCATCAATACTATTTAACTCCAGAAACCACTCTTCATTTCTAACCCTCGAATACCTAATCTTCTAGATGGAAAGTTGTGCTGCCTGTGACATGCCTGCAACAACCCTAAGGCTTGAAAAAAGAGTAGTACTGTTCTTCCCTGACAAGGCCTGGCTTGAGAAAGTAATGGATACACAGTGTGTTTTATTTCCACCTACATAACATTAAAAAATATTTTTCAGCAGATTTGAGATGTGCTATGTCTTCACCATAAAGTACTGGAAGGTAATAAAACATTCAGTGCATCTTAAAAGGACAAAAAAGAGATGTAACCCCCAAGCATTTTGAGATCACATAAATTGCCGACATAAAGTTTAACACAGGTTATTTAAAGTCTCTGCCTCATAGTTAAATAGGGCATGTAAGAGTACATGCAGTAACGCTATATTTTCAAAAGTAAATAGAAGAAATTTTGAGGCAAGAGAAGTTAATTCTTATTCTGAATGTGCTGTAAAATCAAAATTGTTCTATTATAATCATTCTGTATTTTTTATATATGCTGGCTGTCCCATTAAACACAAGCTGGAAATTCCAAGATTTCATCTTTATCTCCTAAATGTAGAGGATAAGACATATAACACAAAAGAATAATCAGAACCTTAGAAATATTTATTTCCTGCTTCCACAGGAATGATTAGTTGAACCTGTTTTTTTCTCCTAGAGCTTTATTAGCCAGAAATTTGAAACATTCAGTAAGATTCCTGTATGCCTTAAATAATATACTTCCCTGAATAGTAACTATTTGCACTGTATGACTGAATTTCACAAGTATTTCTGTTGCTTGAAAGGGGCACACACATTAAAAAAAATGAAGAAGTCATAACAGGAATCACTGTTGTAGGCTCCAACTCCAAGTCTATAAGTTTTTTCAAACCCCAGGATATGAACTACCAAACAATTTTTAATGCTAGATTTACACATTCCATCAAATGTGACAACCATCTCAACCGTATATTCCATTACCCATATTTTTATGATCTTTGTTGATACATACATAACTAATGCACTGGCCTGTTTTAAAGACTGAAATTATTCATATTGTTAAATAAATGTTGATTGCACCAAAACTATAATAATGCACCTTTCAAAAGATCCCTTCAAAATCCGTCAGTACCTTCCCTCTTCAGAATAGAAATGTAGACTACAAAAGAAGCATCAGGACAGAGTAACAAAAAGGAAAATTTAGTGAATGAATAAACGAAAAGACAAGGAATGAAATCACAACAATCAAGTCATTAAGGCCCAACTCCACTCACTCAAGCCAATGAGAATAAGGCACAAACATTTTCTTAAAATGCAATCATAGGTGCTTCTAAGAAAACTCTAAAATGTGAGCTGGTGTACTATCAAAAATATATACCAAACATCTTGGCATTTGAAGTGTTTTAAATTATTTCCCTGTTCTTTAACAAATTGCCTTCTACACAAACTTGCACACATATCACCTTGACACATGCTATTAACTAAATATTTCTATTTCATTTTATGATTAGAAGATACAATACCTCTGTCTGAAGTATGGCAGCTCTCTGTTCTTTGGCAGTAAGTGACTCTTTAAGCACTTCAATGTGTTGTTTGCAATCTGAATTCTGATTGCTAAGGGTTTCAAGCTTAGTTTGTAAGGCAAGAAGTTCTGATTCTTTCTTTGAGAGTTCTTGTTTCAGTTGGTCAATCTGTAATGGGGGAAGAAGGGTAGAACATTAAATTAATTTCTAATCATAGTTGCACTTGAAATCTGAAAGGTGTGAGTGACCATGATATGACAATTAAGATATCTATAAATTCCAGAAAAGAATTAAGATTCAGAGTTTTTACACTCACAACCTCAATTGAGTTTCTTGTAATTTCATGTATCCTGCCTTAAGAATTATTGCCACACTGTTGCAGAAGTTAAAAGGAAACTCTTAAAGATTATGTATATGATTTCACCTATAAATTCACCATTGACCTCATGAGTTCAAAGGAATTACCGTGTGAGGCAAGTCTGGCAGGACAGCAAAAATGCACAGGGAAAAAAGCGTTCTTAAAAGTATAAATTAAATCCAATAGCCTATTCCTTCCAACAGCACGATTCTTGTGACTAATCATTGGCCAGACTCATTCAACAGTTTTTAGGAGCTTGCTAAGGAAAAGTAGGCATCTTAGCAAGGAGAGGAAAAGAGAGAGGGGGAATTTTAACCTTATTCTTCTTGCAAATGTGTTGCTGCCACCATCCTCACCACCTTTTTTCTTTCCTGGCACTTCATATAGAATTTGTCAGGTACTGGGGAAGCAAAGCCAAAGCGTATCATTTCAGAGAAGTCTGGGGAAAACATTATAGAAAATTCCACAGAACAAAAGGCGTGTGTGATTATGCAAGTGTATCCTACGGGAAACTGCAGAAACACCGTCACTAAGATGGAGCTTCTGAACTTAACCAAATCTCTTGTTCATCAGTAAAAGTCATGGATTTGTGATTATTATTCCCTTTCCACAATGATAAATGGGAGGAGTAGCCACAGAACACAGAAGTGTGGTGGAATTAGAGTATACGAATCTGAACAAAGCACTGGACAATACATAGAACAATGCTACTTATTCTTCTTAAAGTCCCATGAAATAACACTGATGACCATATGAGTTCATATAATGTCATCTCCTGAAGATTATTTAAAATAAAATGCCTCAAAGCATCTAGATAATCTGAAGAAACCATATTTCCTTTATACTTGGAAGGTTTTCTTAATTACAGTAAGACCTATATATTTTTCTTTAAAATTCAAGTTTCAATTCTGCAACAACCAGATAAGGGCTAGGAGGACTCTTTCCACTCTCTCCCATCAGTTGCATCCTAACAGACACTGTGATGCAAGAAATGGCAAAGGGAAAGACAGAAGGTGATACAAAAACTCCCAGGAAAAAAAGAATATGCATCCACAGGCTGATTCTACTCAACCACCTCCTAAAGATTCATATACTAAAATATTCACAGATTCAAGATTGTATAGCAGTCACTGGAATGTGCTGATCAAAATATTCCTATTTTGTTATACAAGGCAAGTATATCCTTAAAAATTAAACTAAAAAAAAGTTTCTTGCAACTCTATTTCATATGTATATCCTAATATATTTATTCTTCATCTTTATAAATCTCAGTATATTTGTCTAGCTGGTTAACGTACTTGGTTAGCCACCCCAAGCTACTGTATAAAATCAGGAATCTATACTGACACTAAAAGCAATCACCTTCACAGTCTGAAAATATCAAAATAAGAGAAGCAGCATACAAAAAATCAGATATCAATAAAACACAAAGAGTGCAGTTCAGAAAATTCTAGAGAAAACTTTCTTTTGGAAGCAAACCACCTTCCTCTATCCCTTGCCAGAACATGTAAGCCAGTATGGCAACAGAGACAAAAACATATACAAAATGAACAACAGGAAAATCTGTCTACAAGATAAAAAAAGACAAAATAGATCTGCAGCCAATCTGAATTACATCACATGCTTTATACAAAACCTATGTGAACATTACAGACACTTAATCTCTGCTAGAAACTCTTCTCACTTTTTTCCATGACACAACCCACACACCGAGAAATAATCAACAGCAACAAAAGAAGTGCTTCACTTTCATTGCAGGTGTGTTCTTTGTGTTCTAGAAATCTGTTTAGTATAAAGTTCTGGCTACAAAACCGACCAACAGCCAGTTTAAAAATGTGTTAGGGCTGTCTAAAAAATCAGTGAAAATAAAATAAAATGTGTTGAGTAATTATGCTTTTGGCTTATGTTCTATATTAAAATAAACCATAATGGTGAAAATGTACTAAAACTTCAATTTAAAAAACAAAGAATCAAAAATATCATAAGGCATAACAAGAAACCACACAGCTTTTTAGAAGAAATTTTTAGACCTGGGTATATTTGCTTTTTTACAATTCTGCATTACCTATTAGTGTGCAAAAAAAATTAAACAGGGCACGAAATAAATTTATCTCCATCTGATGTGCAAACAATTTCACTTTGCTATATCTTAAAGTGGTGTGAAAGATTCACAGTCATGATTCAATGAGATCTGATCTCAGTGCAAAGAAGACAAAGGCAACATTTCTGTACTTTATAAAAAGATCTGCAAGTCTAAGTATAAATGCTGCTGAATCTAAAGAACTCCAGGTTTGTCCTCCGATCCTGACCTTTCCACTATCTCACATATTTCACTTCTGCCATTTTCCTGTCACCGCTTTTTCAACATAGCCCAATGTGATCTTGCTTCACCTCCTCACTTGAAACCCTAGTTCCTTTGTCTTCATTCTCAATTTATGATTCTGTCACCTCCCATCATTTCAGTTCCTTAGACACATTTCCAGAAAATCATTAACCTATTCCTTATATTACTTTTACACATCAAAATTTTACATGACGTTACAAAGAGTAACTGGGAAACAAAGAAAACAATCAGAGCTTTTCCGCTGATTATTGCCTATTAAAATTAACAGACTAAACCTTTAAGTAAATTCCATTAAATGAAACTATGGCAATTTATGCATCATAAGGATCTGGTCTTATGTGACAAATGACAACGGCTTTTTAAAGTGAAGGATTTAAGTAAGGCAAAACAATAGCAATGCAAATGAAGTAGCTGCATACAGCAGACTCTACAAGTCTCTCTGTAGATTCTCCAGGTTATATTGGTTCAGGACTATTTTTAGGGCATACATCACATTTCCAGGCCTATCCACAAAAAAATGCTACAGTTCTGTTCTTGTATATTTCTTCTACAGCATCACGCAGAACTCGCATGCTTCCTTTACATAGTGTGAAAAGTTTTTACGGACAGATATTAATTCCCAAGTGCCTTGTTACAGCCTAATCAATTTTTAAACTCATCAACTTGATGGCAAGTTGCAGAAATTGTACTAAATTATCATTAGATTTTCATACTCATTTCTGTAGACAGCATGAGAATCCTAATACTCATAGAACTACTTAAATTCCAGAGTGCCAACACACACCTGAAAAAAAATGCATCGATGTTCCTTTAAATATCCGTCTTCTAGGCAAAGGACAAACTCTAGTAAGAGAAGGAATTCTTACAAAGAAAAAATTATTTTTTTAAATGCATATTAGTCTATATGTCTTCACTTGTTTTGATAATCTCTGAATGGTGTAAGTGATAGCAACTTTTGTCCCTTTAAAAACAAAGTAAGGAGAGTCCTCGCCAAGAGGGCAGGAAAAAAAATAAGCAAGTTACCTTTCTCATTTCTACAGCTTCTGTTTAACTCTAGGTCAAAATTCGAGCCTATGTATTTGAAATGAGTGAATATTACTAAGAATCAGTCAAGAAAAAGAACATTTCCCAACATCCTCTGCTGCTCACGTGCAATAATTAATATTCTGTATTGGCCCCCATTTAATACCTTCCCATTTATTTAAACCAAGAAGATTTAAAACAAGCTATACTTCAAGAGTGACTGTTAACTGTGAGAAGAGTTTTGTTCTGCTCTTTGCCATCAGTCAAGACTTCTGTTTAACAGAATTTATCAACCATCTCAGGTTCGACAGATCGGGTATAATAAGATCTGTTTGCTGACAGCTGAATAAATAGTTTTCCACCTTGAAAGGTTCTCAGATGAATAATAAAAATAACATCTTCTGCTGCAATTCTCAATTTTAAGTGGAAGAAAAGGACTGGTGAAAGAAAACAGACAAAGTTTCATCAGAATTTGGCATTTATCAAAAATCAGAAGATTGTGACAAAACAAGGCATGTTTAATAGTCTTCTCATTCATCTGTTTTCTGTGCCACAGAAAATACTGAAGCTTTTCCTCCCAAAACCATCAGAAGATTCACAAAATACTAGGCTTTGTGAATCATTTTTATATCAATAGGTTTGCTGAGGTGTATTAAGAATTGCTTTGAAAGCAAGAACTTTCAAATAGACAAAATAATTTTCCTAATGATAATGCTACTTAGGAACTTTGGCTACTTTTCAGTAGCTCAAGAGCTACTTTTTTCAACAGAATAAATGTTTTTGAATATTATTTTTTTAACAAGAAAACTTGATTAATTCCACATCGGCACTAACACTTCTATTTCTTCCCTAGCACAAACCTTATGCCCCAATGTCCCACAACATCAGCATTTCCTGTAATGTAGTTTAAAAGAGTACTACAGTTCACAAACTGGGAGCCAGTGACAGCTCTTCTGAGATGGAAAAATCTTCAATACCCAATACTACACAGTGATGAATTTCTTACTCCTATATTCACTGTGGAATTCAGACAAAGTTTTATGAGCTTGATACCAGAAAGTGTGTTACATCGCTACATATTTATTATGTGATTGCAGTCAACCAATAATTATGCACATATAATAAGTGAAAATAAAAGGTACTCTGCAGTAGCAAAGTTATCAGATTGCAAGTCTTGAGAACACTAGAAGGTAACAATTTGTTGTCATCTGTGTAACAGCAGTCCTTACTGTAAAACTACAGTCAACATTGGGGAAAAAAACGCACAACTAAAGGTGTACCATAACGATGCAAGTCAATATTATAAACTAATTCAAAAAGCCCACAATAAAACATCATACATCAGAAATGGAAAAGGGAGTAGCCTCTCCAGAAGATGAAAAATAGCCTCGTCCTTACCTATTCCTATGTCAAAACATAAACACATTTATCCAAAATGCTTCACTCCTCCACAGCTCGGAGTATTGCATGGTACAGATTTACCGAAAAAAGACACAAAGAGAGCCACTCATGTTGAAAGGCGTCAAGTCAAAACTTTTGTTTCCATTATTTAAGTAACATTAAGCTATTTTATTAATAGATCTTACCTTATTTTTCATGAACTTTGAGTGACTCTTGTAAACTTCTATTTGTTTGATTTCTTCTTCTCGGTCCTCAGTATTCAGAACTCCATTTGTCTTTAACATCTGTATTTCATCTTCAAGATCTCTTATATTCCGCTCAAGGGAAGCTATTTTTGTATCCTAAGTTATAAAAAAGTTTTGAAAAATCATATGAAAAATAAAGCATAACATAAGTATATCTGTACTTGCATGAACATCTAATAATAAGATAGCAAAAATAGATAGCACAAATACAGATTGCACATTCTGCCATAAACCAGGAGTAATTCTATTGATTTAAGTTTAAAGAAATGCAGAATTTAAACTTCTGTCATCATCAGAAAAAATGTCCAACATTACGTTCTTTTGCGTAGCCTGTAGATAATATATTCTGATCAAAATTCCATCTTCATTTCCCTAGTTAGGGATGAAGGCACAATGGAAGATACCCCATTTTCCACGAGTACGCGATAGCAAACCTTGTTTGCTTTGCTGACCATCTAAGGCCTGGCTATTCTTCCAAATTCTTAACTATATGATACTATGACTGCAGCAAGCAGCAGAACACAGAAATACTGTCATTCTAAACAGCAAGTTAAAAATTAGCATCAAAGAACATTTCTTCTGTGAAAGACCATGCCTCCATTGTAAGTTTTATTGAATCGCACAATCAAAACCACAGCAAATAAGTAACACCACTATACAGCTACAGCCATGTACGTATAGACCATTCCAACAACACTACAAGAATGGCTTTACAATTAACAGCAGGATAAGCACTTCCTTACAGTCATACAAAATGACCAGGAAATCTGAATCCTCATAAATCACAATCAACTCCCTTCCAGACTCAAAAAGTCCAGAACACAAATTTTCACTTGGGGGGGAGCGGGGGGAAATCAATCACAAGATGATGTGAAATCCTGTCTACTGCTAACACTGTGGAAATGGGAAAAATAAATCTAGCCTGCTGCTGAATGCAGATTCATTCATTTGCACCACATTGTAATATACCAGTTTTGACTGGCAGACAGATTTCTGGGTTGTACAACTACGCAAATCCACCATGGTTCCTGTTTGAAGCATTTTTCAGTGTGTTTTAATCCAAACAAGAGCTCCATGATGTAAAAGGATGTAAAACTTTTCAATAAGAGATCTTGAGACAAAGGAATACAGAAGTTGAGGAAAGCTATCTTACACTGGCAGCTTTGTATTGATGTTTTATTGGAACAGAAGCCAGAAATTTCACAAATTTTGAAGACTAAAATACGTTTCAGAATAATTTATCAAAAACATCAATGAAGGCAGGACAGAAGAGAAGCTAGACATCACCTTCATTCACAGACTGTTCAAGGAGCCAGAGGTCCTGTCCCCTCATGTATGAACAATATAGGGCCAGCAGTTCTGTGCATACACCAAAGAGGCTGCTGGCTTGCCCAGGAAGCCCAGAAGTTTTCCAGTCTGGACAATTGCTAGAAAGCAAGGAACCACGTAGGTCAAAGATAATAGTGACAGCCTAGAGCTCCCAAGGGGTACTGACTGCCACAAGGGAGCTTGGGTGAGTTACAGGATGCTTTGCTTTCCCTAAAAGTTTTGACAGAATAGGCACATTCCCGTAAAATCTATCGATTCTGCTGAATCAGTATTTTCCCACAGAAAACTTCAATTGGAAAACTTTCAGCCAGTTCTTGTGGCACAGGGTCTGGCAATCTTTCAGAAACTGAAATAAGAACAGATGCGGTATTTCCTTCAAGCCTCTAAAACTTATGTGCATTAGCAGCATTCTAAAAAACTACGTGGGTCTGCGTTGAATCACAAAGAAGATTGCTTTGCAGCAATATTAAGGAAGCAGCTTAGTACTAAATAGTACTAATAAATGTCTTGCACTTCTACAACAAAGTAGTAATTGTGCAGATTTTTTCAGTCAGGTCCTTTAAATCTATTAAAGGACACATAGATTATATAGTAAGATATGTGATACAGACCGGTGCACTCACCCTAATCTATCCCCTCCTTCTATCAGTAACCAATACTTCTTCCTCTTGTCCTTTATTAGAATAATGTTGCAAATATTCTGTGAGAGAGGTTAGGCCCTATTTCTATGCTGGACCTAGCAGAAATCCATCTGTTTTGGAAAATGAAACAATTAGTATGTGTCCTGATGCTGAAGAAAGCAATATTTCACAATGGAAAGGAAACCAACTCTACAAATTAGTTTCCACGACCATGTTTCATGAATCTTATATATCCAGTCTTATAACATCAGTGCTATAGTATATTTCCTGAACATTTAGAGGAGAAAAAGGGCAAAACATCTGTAAACAATACAGCATTCCAGTCTGTCTTACAATATCTTTTCAAATACCTGATAAATTTCAACTACGACTGTGAAAAATCTTGCTTGTAGGGCATTCAGTAAGCAATCAGAAGCAAATATTTAAAACTTAACATTTAACAAAAATTGCATTTAAAGCATATATGCTATCAATAGACCATACACAACTACTCTTACTATATACTTTCAACTTTGTCAATTTAATGGAGAAAATCAGGTTGATTTTTGAAGACAAGGGAAAGTGAAATTTCATGCAATCTTAAGAGTACGTTGCACTGCAAACACACATACACGCTCTTTTAGAACTGTCCCATACCTGAAATATCAAAGCTGGATCAATACATAAAGATGGCTCTTTCTGCAAGTAAGGTAAACCAAAAATAGTTTCATATACTTTACACCTTACCGTTTTGAAAGATTTTTTTAATTCTTGTTGCTAGAGTCTATATATTTCAGGATGCTCAATACCATACACTTAATGTGAGCTTTACGCTGTATCTTTAGGCAACCCGTTTCTTATTTTTTTCTCAAGTAATATCACTGGTTTAACCTTGAACTATCTGAACAAGATCACATAACGGTTTGGGTTGGAAGCAACCTTTAAAGATCATCTAGTACCAAATCCCCTGCCTTTACAGGGACATCTTCCACTACACCAGGTTGCTCAAAGCCCCGTCCAACCCAGCCTTGAACACTTTCAGGGACAGGGCTTTCACAGCTGCTCTGGCCAACCTTCTTATGTATCCCTCTTGGTTTAAAATTTTTGCCTCTTGTCCTACCACAAGAGACCCTACTAGGATGGTAAGGTCTTTGAGAAGCCTTCTCTCCTTCAGGCTGAACACCACCAATTGGCTCAGCCTTTTCACACAGGATAGGTGTTCCAGCCCTCTGTCCTCTGGACCTGCTCCAACATGTCTGTCTTGTACTGTTTCTTGTACCCCAAAATAGAATGCAGCTCTCCAAATGGGTCCTCACAAGAGATAAGCAAGTTTTGAACTGATTTATGTGCTCAGGAGTATTTATTTTTGAGATGAAAATGAAAAGTGGGTTTCCTTTTACTCTTGTTTATTATATTAATCAGCGTTAACTTCAAGTATCACTGATCTGGCATTTGTCAACACACAACATGCAGAGAAGTATGCATGGGTGCAATTGCAATTTAAGGAAAGGATTTCAATGCACTAGTTTTATTTTATGCCTAAACAGACAAAAATTTAGGCATGTCAAAAAAAAAAAAAAAGCTGTTTGATCACATCTCTCTGTAGTCACAGTCAGAAGCAACCATTGCAAAAAAGTTAGACTGGCCTCCAGTACAACACAAGTCATACAACTACACGAATGCTGTTAAACATACACATCACTGTAGTGTGCATTCGCCACCTCTAGCTTCCACGCACTATATTTTACAACATATTTATTTTCATTATTGGAGAGGATGTTTTAATGAAGATATCTTAGGTAGATATCTGCAGACTGTAATCTCTTTTGCTCTGATTTCTACACAAAATTAAACTCCTAAAGTAATTCACTTTTCAGTAATATTTTAAAACATTCTGGTGGCCCTTCTCTAAAAACCATGAGCTCCATGATGTAACTCTGTTTTGGACAGATGTGCACTCCAAAACTTTTACCTCTTTAGTAAATTCAAGATACAAACAGCATATCTAGCATGCCGCGCTTTCTAGAGAATGGTTCTCAGAAAATCATGGTGGATGGCTGGAGGAACAAAACAAAAGAAATTTCTTGAATGGTCTACAATGTGATTAGGCAAGTTTAAAAACAAAACAACAAAAAACCCCAGGAACTTGAGGGAATAACAGGAGCATGTGGGTCTGTGACTCTGCTTGCCAGAAGAACAAAGGGCTTCTGGAGAAGGTCGTCTGTTGCAGACAAGAGAACAGAGAGTAAAGGATGCAAAGGGAAAGGATAAGCAAAAGACAGGGGACATCCGGGAGCAAATGTGTCTAAGAAGCAAAACAAGAGAGTTCAGAAAGGCCTGTGCAATCTATCTGACAAAATAACAGATATTTGAAAAGGAACAAATTAAGCGATAGAAACAGAAGATATAGGATGTGAATTTCCTGTCTTTTTTGTTTGCTGCACCACCCTCCCTCCCTTTTTTTTTTTCCATAAACATGTATAAGAGAGACACTGGCCAAGGAGACAGCAGTAATGCAGAAAATGCAATTGTTATTTTTCAGAAAGAAATCAAGAGCATGATGGGACAACAAAGGTAGTGCTGAAGAAAAGCTCTTTAGGATAAATTTAAAAAAAATAATCACATATGATACAAGAAATGGATATAACTTTATTAGATGAAAGGGAGGACTGTCTGAGAAAAAGTACAGAAAGCATTCGGCAGTGACAGGAATAGAAGAAAACCACAGCAAAGATCAGAGGGATTTACCAAGGAGGGAACGCTGCCTCGTGGCACAACCTGGGGCAGCTGTGGAGAGGACTCAGACAAAAGCTGAGGTATGGGAGTGGAAGAGGTGGGTGTGGTAAAGAGAAACATATACTGCTTGAAGCCTCTGCATGGGGGAGTATACAGCCTCAGATTGCCCTATTACAGGGTAATCTTCTCCCTCC